ATGCCCCTAAAATCTTGTCTTTGGTGTAGATGAGGTCCTAAAGTGTCTATTAATTCGTGAACTAAGACTTCATTGAGGCGAAATAATTCAATAAAACGTCTATCCACAAGAAGAAAAGGATAGCTGTTCCGTCGTAACAAACGTCTTTCTCTTATTAAGGCCAAATTTCCTTGTCGACGTTGTCTTTCTAATCAAATTTGGTGAACAATAGGAAGCATTTTTGTTTTTCTTTCTTAAACTTAACCTCAAAACTGCACTACTCTACACCCTTCTAAGCAGTCGAGAAATTGTGATCGAATCGAGACGATTATTCGAATGTTATGAATACATTTTAAACATTTCAGTCGATTAATCGAGATCGAGTATCCCAAATCGAGTGTCGTGATCCCTAGGCTGGTTTGTTGAAGGAGGATTTAATATTTTTAAATCGCGAATGACCAGGAATTATCATGAATACATGGATGCATATGAATTTGAAAAGTTGGTTTCAATCTAATCTTTCGCATTTAGAACCACAGGGTTGAGCCATTGTATTAGATAACATATCATATTATACTCGTCGATTAAAAAACTTCCAACAAAACGGCGTGGAATAGAGCTGAAATATTTGATTGGTTAAAAGCAAAAAATATAATATATTGTACAAAAAAAATATATTGAGAGTGGAATTACTTAGTATTGCCCGACTGCACAAGGAAATTTCTTAAAATTGGTTATAGATGAACTAGCATAAAAACGCGGTTTTAGTGTATTAAGACTTCTTCCTGCCTTGTCACTGCGAATTAAATCCAATTGAGTAAATATGAACAAAGGCATATTAATAGACACCCACACAAATTATAACATATATTACTATAATAAGTATTACAGAAAAACGAACTTATCTATTATATATCTCTACCTCAAATAACCACAAATTAACTCCAAAAGCTAAAAGTGACAAATAGCATAATATACTATCAATTACAATAGTAAATATTTGACGATACTAGAATCATACGCGGTTTCCTAAATGCATAACCATCTGCAGGTGTTTTGGTTTATCAAAACCCGAAGACTACAGCAACACCAGTTAATCTATAAAAAATATTGGATTTAAGTCTATTTTAGCTCTTCATTCAATTTAAAATTTGTCCGCCATAATTTGCCCAAATCTGGTTTGGTAATATGATTGGATAGGGCTGGTTCTAAATATTTACACCTGTTGGAAATTAAATTTAGAAACTTTTCAATAGAAGAATTTTTATCTGTCTCTGTCTATTGTTTCCATATATTTTTTATCGTTTTATCTAATTTTTTGTGAAGACGAAATATCATGTACGTTTTCCACTGTTCCATGTTTTGACTTAAGGTTGTTAATGACCTAATATTTTTTAGAATTGCATTTAAAAATGTATTTAATTATTTATATGATTACTCGAAAGACACTATCGCAGGCAAAATATTAACATTATGTCCGATAGCCAAGCAGTCATCAAAGCGCTGAGGCTTACGTAATCAGCTCAAAAATGGCCTGGAGATGCCTAGAAAAATTGAATGAACTAGGCGAGGAAAATATAGCTACTCTCACTTGGGTCCCGGGACATAACGGGGTGATGGAAACGAGATTGCAAGGCAAGGGACTTAAACGCCCTTTGTGAGACCTGAGCTCCTTTGCGGTATCAGCAGTAAGGAAATATTAGAAAAAAATTGGCCAGTAGAAGAACGGGTACTTGGAACAATCTCTAAGACAGGCTAAGATACTTCTGGGTGAATATAACCAGAAAAGAAGTGAGCCTGTATCTGCCTGAACAATAATCTGCAACGAACTTTAACAGGGATCCATACCGGTCACTGCTGACCCAAAAGACACCTTAGTAAACTGAAAATAGTAAAATATAACGAGTGCAGATTTTACAAGGAGAGTGACGAAACGTCCTATTACATTCTAAATAAATGTGTATTACTCCAAAATTTAAGGGCACTATACCTAGGAACACCAACTAGAATAGGACGATCAGTCTAACTTGGAGCCACTCCAAATGCGATATTTCCTCAAAAAAATTGGATTGGAATGGTTTTTATATACATCTAGTCTATTTATTTGCTACATTAGCGACATAATATATATGATTCTTGTGTTTTTAATCGATTAAATCAATTTAAACGAAGATGAAGGTAATTTAAGTGATAAGAACAGTTTGATACATCCGGAGTATTTATCCGACACTGAAGAGTTTGTAGAAAGCATGCACGACACAGAAGAGACAGAAGAAGAAGAGTCAGTTGTTAAACCACCAAAATAAATTCTAAATAAAATAAAACTAAAAAATGTAGCTTTAAAAAAAATTATTTGGCGAAAGAAAAAGTTGCTTCTCATTGAGGACCATTTCTTTCTTCACGAAAATTGCAAAGTGAAAGCGGATGTATCTCAGCTTCTAACTCATTATCACTTCTTTAAATAGTTTTTCAACGAGAACATTGAAAAAAAAAAGTTAAATAAACCAATGTGTCGCATAGTTAAACCCTGAGAACCTGACATTTTTTTCTAAAAAAGAAATAAGTCAATTTATTGGCACGCTTGCCTTCTGTTAGGTATTACTAGAGTTAAAATTGAGACTATCCGCAAGTGAAAAATGTAATGCCTCTAAACAGGTCAACCAGGACATGACAGGTTGACTAAAATACGACTTCTTGAATTAGATATATTCTTCTATTTCAATGTTATCCCACCTAGGCTCGTAAGAGGCAAGTTCGCAGTTACAATATCGGAGCGCACACAAACCGCTCTAAATATTGTGTAGCGAGGAAACTAACAGTAAACCCTCACAAAACTACAATAGTCAACTTTACAAAATTAAAAGTACCAACAGGACTAAAGTCACCAGTACTAAAAGGAGTAAAGATTTCATTCGCTTAAGAGGCCAAATACTTGGAAGTCATCTTTGACCACAGGTTAACATGGAATCAACACTTGCAAAAAGTTACCTAAAAGAGCACAACATCCTTCAACTTATGTCGAAGGTTGTGTGGAAAAAATTGGGGACAACAACCGAAAATGTCCCTATGGTTATATACCAAGTCATAAGGCCGATGATAGCCTACGGGTCGGTGGTATGGTGACCAACGACCCAACAAGCTGGAGCTGGAGAGACAGCTCAATGGGATTCAAAGGCAAGCATGCCTGAGTACCACAGGAGCTATGAGAACGACTCCAACAGCAGCTATAAAAGTCATGCTAAACCTAACACCACTACATATATTTATTCAAGGCGAACCTAGGTCTGTCACATACAGACTGCACAAAGGTTCATTACCCATAAGCAGTTTGTATGGACGTGACTACAGCGAGCTATATAAAGAGTTGGGGAACGACCAAATAACGGGAATTCCTTCAGATGAAATGCTCCCAAAGTATAGCTTTCAAAAGCAATATAAAGTAAGTATACCAGACAGAAAAGCGTGGACGGGAGGACCTCCTATTCATGCAGAATTCACCTTGTATACAGACGGCTCCAAAACCCATGAAGGTTCAGGAGTAGGTATATATAGTACCAAGTCAAAGACAAGAATCTCACTGAGCTTAGGTAAACATGCAACATTATTCCAGGCAAAAATAGCAGCAATACATCACTGCGCAAAAGAGGTATTAAGAAAGAAGGTAAATGGAAAAACCATTGTCATATACTTAGACAGTCAACCGACGTTAAAGGCACTCAGTTCCATGCAGGTACACTCAAAGCTTGTGAGGGACTATTTGGAAGCCCTAACAGAGTCAAAACAGACTAACCTTAGCCTGTGTACTAGGCTACAGAGACATAAGGGCAATAAAGAGGCTGATTTACTAGCCCGAGAAGGGGCCTCAAATGCTCTAATTGACCCTGAACCCTTCTGTGATGTAACATAAACAACTCTCAGAATATGCACAAAGCAGTGGATGTTTAAAAAATCTCAGAAGTGGTGGAGAAACTCTCCAGGACCATCGCCTAAACTCACCAAGCATCTACTAAGCCTTAATAGGAAAACTACTAGAGTACTAGTAGGTCTATTAACAGGACATTGTAGGCTTAACAAACATATGTATAATATCAGTCTGACAGGAGATACTTTGTGCCAATTCTGTCAGGAAGAGGAGGAAACGGCAGTACACGTATTCTGCTACTGCGAAGGTCTAGCAAGACTGAGATTCCTCACACGTGGAGAAGAAAAACAAAGGGCAACTAGCTATACCGGAGAACTACTTCCCAGGAGTCTACTACAAAAGACCGAATTAGACAAGGCACTCTAAATAACGATTCAAGGATATCCACAATAGATCTGAAAAGGTCGAGGTGGGGGAGACCACATGGCCCACAGTCCTAATTAAATCTAAAAGCTTGGAAGAGCAAATGTGATCAAAAAAGGCGATATTACATCAAGCAGTACCTGCCCATGAAGCCCCAGTTCCGCAAGTGGCGTTTCAAACTTTTCGTTTTGGCAGGAGCTTCTTGATAGGTATACAGATTTGAACGTTTGTAGAAAATTAATCTAATGCATCTAATGTGCGTAAGATATTATATTTTTGATATCAAACTCTAATTTTAGCAAATCAATAGGGTCCTAACAGTTACCTTCTGTGATTTACATGTCCTTTATTAGCTCCGCAGCAGCCCCTGTCAAAACGCGTTCTAACTAGACACATTTTTATTACTACGATTTCATATTATTTGAATCAATAAAAGTACGACATGCATAACAGAAACTAAACCACTTATTATAAATTTTAGGACTTCTATAGGCCCAAGTTACATTTCATTACCGTTTTCCCCAGAGACATTGACGTGATTTCTTTAAATGCACCTTAAAAAGATGCATTGATATGAATATTCTATCTAACATATCTTGAAAATGTTATTTAAATTACTAGTAAGTCTCACGTAAAAATTGCGACCCTTATTCCACCCTACAGTCACGGCCTTGGTAGGGTTTCGTATTGATTGCAGGGTTAGGCGGGAAAATCTCAATATTTTGTTCCGGGAACGCTCCGGAGGAGGAAAACTTCATTCCTCTGAAGCCGATGCTCATCTGTTCTCGGTCTACTGTCAAGCCAACACTGAAAGGCTTTTCCTTTGAACATGGGGAACGGAAAATGTTCCTAAATAGTGTTAAAATAGACAATTTATAGTTAATCATAGTGCTAATTCGACGTCGTTTTTCAAAATAGAGACAATAATATTGTAGTGAGATTTTGAAATTTTGGTTTTGTAGTGATTGAGGATGTTTTAGACAAATTTGGTGGGTAATAAGTTAAAGTATTACGTAACAGTATATTTTTCATTTATTGGTTTTGTTTATTTTATTTGAATATGAATTATAATAGTCGCCACTCTCCCTAGTATATATAAATTTTTATTAACCATAATTTTTATTTTTGTGACTATTACAATTTTATTAATAGATTCCCATATTAACTGTCATAAAAAATTATATAATACACAGCTGTAGGTAATTATAGTTTGTGTTCGATCCAAAATTTACTCAGAAAATATTATCCTAATAAATGTTAAATAGGACACTAATCAATTAAATATTTTTGCCTAGTTTTTTTTGCCATGTTATATGTTTACCATTTATTTGGAAAGTTCTGCAGATTTTGTCCTCTGTTTTTAGTAGCGTCTTCTCTAAGTTGTTATTCCATGATAATCTTTGCTAACCTGTCTTCTCCCACTCTTACCACGATATCTACCCAACTCCAATCGAGATTTTATATCCTTTTTACTCCATCTGTAATTCTAGTCATTGGTCAAAACATTTGGTTTGGTATCATAGAAACCCACCTAGCATAGAGCGCTCCATAGCACATTCAGGAATGTGAACATTAGATGAGATTTCGTTTTTTTTTCGCTTGGGCTCGTTTGACTATGTCTCCAAATAACACTGAAGCCTATTGGCTTATTGAGTTTTACCCTATGTTAGTTCATAGCACCCACTCTGTCACCTTTGTACCTTGTACAAGTTTAAACAGATCCTTCGGTGAGTGGGTTCTATACGTTGTTGGATCAACCTGGGGTTGTCCAAAAAGAGCCTGTCTTTTGCGATCTAGAGCTTAGCATTCGCACAGTATGTGTTTGGCCGTTTCTGGTTTCTTGTGACATAGTCGGCTCATGAGTTCCTTATTGTACATGCCAATTTTGTTCAAGTGTCCCTTTACTGGGGCGTGCCCAGTCATGAACCCTGTTATCACTTTCAACTGGTTCCTATTCATAAAGAGTAGTTCTACAGTTCTTTTGGGACATGGCCTGCCTCTGGAAGGGTTTTACATGTGCATATTTTGGGGTGCTTCCCCAATAGTTGATATGTTGTTCCTGAATCCAGTCGTTAGGACTGTGGGCTATGTAACCTGATTATCCCTTAATCGCTGGTTAAAGTACCTTTTTTAGTAGACTCCATACACTAGGAAGAAGCTCTTTAACGTAGCTAGTTGCCTTTGATTTTTCTACTCCAAGTGTAAAGAATTAAAGTTTTAATAGACCTTGGCACTATCAAAATACATTTACTGCAGTTTCCTCCTCTTCCTGACAGAACTGGCACAAAGTCATTTCTGCCAAGGCAATGTTTATACATATGTTTGGCAAACCAACAATACCCTATCGATAGGCCTACTACTCTAATATTTGTTCTATTATCGCTTAGTAAATACTCGGCGAGTTTTAACGATGGTCTTTCTAAGAACTTTTTGGCCTGTATTCGTTCTGGTAAATTGTTTCACCATTTGTGAGATTATTTAACATCAACTGCCTTTTCTGATAGCTGTCTTTGTGATACCACAGAGGGGTTCTGGGCCAATGGGTCATTGAGGCTCTTTCTTGGGCTAGTAAATCAGCCTCTTCATTACCCGTATGTCTTCTCTCGCCTGGCTTGGTACCCAAGCTTCGTTTAACCTGTTTGACTACCTAACTCTGTTAGAGCTTCCAAAAAATTCCACACAAGGTTTGAGAATACCTACATAGAATTGAGTGCTTTGACTATCTGAGTATATGACAATAGTTTATATATTTACCTTATGTTTTAATACCCCTTTTGCGTAGTAATGTATTGCAGCCTCTTCTGTCCGGAATACATGTTAAATTCTTGACTTTGGTTTGGCACTATATATACTTACTTCTGAACTCGGCCTAAACCTGCATGGGTTTTGTATACCAGGTAATTTCTGTTTGAATAGGAGGTCCTCCCGTCCACACTACCCTATCTGGTATATTTACTTTATATTGCTTTTGAAAGCTATATATTTGGAAGCAACGTGGAGTTTTTTGATAGAATTCCTAGACGAGTAAAGTACTTTTAATTTACTGTCACGACAGGAAGAATTCATTGATCAAACAAGTATTTGGTTCTTGCATCCAGTTTATACTTTTTATGTAGGTACTTAGTAGGTATACATAAGTACGGTACTTCACTTTAGGAGCGTATTCTGAAGCTAAAATAAAAGTATTTTTGTCATATACACTATGTCTCAAAAATGTTTCGTTACGGAAATACAGAGTGTGAAAGTTTCATAAAATAAAATACAATTTTTTAAATATTTCCAGAACTACTTGAGATATTTTGATTTAATTTTTGCAGCTTTTGAGAGTCAGAAATGTTGCGTGTTTTACCAGTGCATTTTTTATGAAATTTTCACACCCTGTATTTCCGTAACGAAGTATTTTTGAGACATAATGTATATGACAAAAATACCTATATTTTAGCTTCAGAATACGCTCCTGAAGTTATGTAACGTACTTATCGAACACCCTGTATAGTTTAAGGGCTGTTACTTTTTAATTAGATTGAGGGTCGATCTTTTCACCTCTTAATCAAACAATATCCCTATAGTTTGTTAATCTGTCAAGTAAACTTACATGTAACTTTACTCAGAGGTGAAAAGATCGTCCCTTAAAGGTTAGAGTTCGCTAATCTGTCAAGTAAACGTACACTAGTTACTTTAAACTGTACTCAGACCATACTTCATTTTGTCGGGTTGATAAATTTGTAATAAATTTATTTGTATGCTCATATTTAGTCCAGCTTGGTCGGATTGTAGCTGTTAACACTATATTTTGCGCCTTTCCATTGATGTTCATCACATTCCAAGTCCTTTGATTTCTTATTCTTTAGTTTATAAAACCTCTTTCATAATTCAGTCTTTGGACACTTAATGTCCAAATTAAACTACAGATCTTTTGCTCAGGCACCGAGAAGTCCAGTAATATGTCTTAGATTCATCTAAGGAGTTTAGTCCTAATACGAATCGCTTCCTTGCTTTTGTACCGCAGATATCCTCTAAACTTCAGAAGCAAGTTTTTAAACTTTAAATTAAACCACTGGAACTGAAGGAATCCTGGTCCTGTAAATGGAATTTTTGCACGTTCTTTGGCGAGGTTAGTCCATTGTCATCTTTGTTGTTTGAGTTCCAAACGTCCATGGACTATTTAACTTTGTATCTATTAAAAATTTAAATTTAGTTAGACTATGATCATTGTAGTTATATTTCCTTGCAGCAATTTTAATTTTGATGATACTTTGATTCCTTGGATTTAAATATTGGATCCATATTTCATCATGAAAACAATAAGATTAAAAAGTTAGATGGCGACAAAGAACTTTGGAAGTTTATACTTCAAGTTGTTTTTGAGTAAAGTAAAGTTTTGAAAATAAGCAAAAAATGAATAGGTAGATATAAAACCTTAATATATTTACTTATTTCAAAATAAAGTAAATTATTTTTTTTTATTTTTTGCCAATAAAACAAACATTAATAATCTTTCCAGGACAACATTACTAATTAAATTTTAACTTGAAATTAAATATGATTCACTGAAACCAAAATATAGTTAAATCAATTTGTATAAAGCTTATCATTTTAATACGATATTATGAGCATCTAAAAATAATATATTAATATTAAAATTCGCTTGAAATTAATTGATATTTGATTAGATTAACTACAAAGTTTAAAATAAAAATATAGATACAAATAGATTATCACCTATTACATTATTTTGATAAAATTGGTAACCATACTCTGTGGCAGTTATAGTGGAAATCGAAGATTAAGCTTCTATCGCCTATAACTACCTGAATACCTCGATGGGTGGTACTCTCTTAAATAATTATCTAATATAATACAAAACTGAACCTTGATGCAGAACCTTTAAATAATTTTTGTATTATACTGTCAAATTTCAAAGTTGTCATTTCTATTTTAGCTGTGTATAGGAAGTCAATAAATTAAACACTTTTTGAAATAAAATTTTAAAATAAAAATTCCACAGATTAGGATCTGGTGATCACGGTGGCTACGCAAAAAACGAAAGATAGTTACAGATTCAAAAATCCAATGTCACCAATCTGTGCTATGCTGGCCTGCCAAACTTATTTTCTTCTAATGCTATTGTCCTTCTAGCATTTAGTAGGTATAGCTTCTCAAAACTTTTTTGAATTTTTGAATAGAAATAAAAGTAATACGTATGTATAAATAAGATCATTATTATTTAATTGTCAAAAAAACCTTCATCTTACCGCTCGCGAGAATGAGATGACAATGTAAGGAAATAACGTACATGACAAAGATAAAATGTCATCTGACTCTGATAACTATTGTATCTAAATGTCAATCCAATTTTTGCTATGAAGTTAACCGTCTTTGGTTGATTCTAATATTAATCATTAAACCATTTTCTTTGCATCAGGAAACTCTCAGAAGACTGTGCTGGTACCGCTAGTGAGGTATTTTACACTAAATTTACCCATCATTTATGAATAACAAAAAATTAGGCCGTCCCAGGAGTGACCCTTGAGGCACTATCTTATTTATAACTTATGATTCAGATAATGAATTCTTGATTTTGACTGATATTTTCCTAATACTATAAAACTACTCTAAATCCTATATTGTAAAGTTTACTCTTTAAAAATCTTATATCTAGACAGTCAGAAGCTCAGGGAGGAATTATAAACCAATGATTTCTATAATTCAGTTAAAAAGATAAATTTCTAAAGAATCACCCTGTATAGTCTTGGAAGTAGTTGCTTAGTATTATATACGATCGGAACATATTTTCTTATTGCATTAGTGATTTGAATTAATTGGGGCATGGTAACGTTATTACCATGTGTTTCCCACTTATTATTTTTATTGTTTTTTTTATTATTTAACAACTAATAAAGTTAAATATATCTAACAAATCAGTACCTGTCAAACGCGTTACGCTCGGCAGAGATAAATTTACCAAGTTGCCGAGTAGTATCAATATTTACTTTGTTAATAGTACACCAACGTCAATGCAAACAAAAAAGTTATTTGTATACGTTAATAAAATATGTGTCAACATCCTTAACTGTAAAATCACTTTTTATAGAAATTAATTTATAAGTAAGTAATAAATGAAACATTTGGAAACTATTGATTAGAAATACGGCATATTTCCGATAAATTACCTTTTATAAAAATTTAGATACAATCTTTTTAACTTTATAATTGAAAAGTAAGAGTCAATGCATCATAAGACCATGAATCAAATGGAACGATCAGGAATCTACAAGAAAAATGGGAGAAGCAAAATAGGGTAAATTGAAGACAAGTTAAAGCACTCGCAAAGAAGATGGAGAACTGAAACAGAAGAAGACAAAATATTCAATTAAAAATATTTCTTCTAAGTTGCACATCCACAGCTAGCAGACGCTAGCCTATGGCCTGAGTTGTACCATCCCTCAGAGGAGATATACCCTAACCACAGTTTATAGATAAAGAATCAGTTAGTTCATTTGGACTAATTGGATGTTCCAAAATAACATCCACTCCAGGGATACAAATTCTGATGCGCAGAAGACTGCTGTTTGAATATAGGCGGTTGTGATATATTGTATTGGTTATACTAAGAGAGCCCACTGTTCGACCGTCATCTGATAAAGAAATTAAATAATATATGCTCCAAAGGCATGTAACAATATTTTACTTTACCAAACTGCACCTGTGTCAATCGCTATCCTGAGAAAAGTGGTTAAAAAAATTATTTAATATCCAAAAAATCACATAAGACATGTCAGCAACAATAACTGTGTTTTCCCTGAATATTACAATCCTAATTCATTGTGTATCTAGCTTTTAAACCTGAATTAATTATATTTTTACCTACCTTTTATGTGTTTGTATAAACCATTTGCAGAGATATATTATAATTATATACTCTTGTTAGACAATTCTTTTAAGTAGTAGTTATTTTGTCGTTTCTATGGCAACCTGTAAAAATGAATCACAACAAAAGGCATACAAATAAAATTTTAAATCACCAAAAATATTGGATAGATGTTTTTGTTCAATGTTAAGGGGAAGAAAATGTTTCCCTTTAACGATATATATCAAGATATATTTGAATAAGTTATTTTCTGGAAAACTTAATTAGCGCTGTCATGCCTTATGTGATTTTTTTAATATAAAATATTTTTTTTAACTACTTTTCTTAGGATTGGCATTGGCACAGGTGCCAGTTGGTAATGTACAATGTTTTTTATGCTTTTGGGGCATATTTCATTTCGTTATCAGATGACGGTAAAAATCTGCAGTGGGCTATTATGATTTGATTATGTATGCGCCAGGGACACAAATCCGAGTTGCGCGGTGTATAAACTGAAGCAAACTGATTCTTTAGCTATAAAATGTGCCCTAACTATCAAAGTCAAGGTCTGCAGCATCAAAGATTTTAACTGGTATTAAGAAATCTGTTGTAATAGCAGTTACTGTTTATTTTTTATTGCTAAATACTTTATAAAATACAAAATAGTGAATGAATTAAATAAAATCCATTTTTTTACATAAATACATCGCAAATGATTGTCAGTTGTCATTGTTCGTACTTTAAGAGCGATTATAAACTGAGCAACCATCTGATACTAGTTTGCTTCCCAAAAGATAAATACGTTTTATTGCTTTAAAAACATTTTTACCTATTTTAAAAAGTTTAACTCTATATTTTCAAAATATTAATACCTTCTAAAATTGAGCCAAATCGATTACCCACCAAATAACAAAAACTTCCTCTTGTAGATTAGCTTAAAAACTTTACTAAATGAACTATAATAAACAAAATGGCGCAATTTGTGACCCACATCCAACCAACCTTGATGGAATCCTCCCATCACCATGTGCCACACACGCACCATCACCAAGGTCACCACAATAAAGAACACCAATCTAAAGATCATCACAAAGATCACCATGGGAAAGACCACCATGGAAAAGATCACCATGGCAAAGATAAAGATCACCATGGTAAAGAAAAAGATCACCACGGTAAAGACAAAGATCACCACGGCAAAGATAAAGATCATCACGGTAAAAGTCCTCACAGATCGGACTATCAAGGAACGCATTCAGGGCATTTACGGGACTTTCCTGTACTGCCGCATGTACCTGGAGAACACCATCACGAAGAACATGTTCATCATAATGGAGGGACTAAGAAAGAGTCTGGTCTCTACGATCACGCAGAAAGCAGAGGTAGTAGTAAAAGAGACTCCGGCCAGTATTTTGATTCGCACGGTATTTCTCACTCGTTTGAATTACATTTCATAGATTCCCAAGGGATTCATAGAGATTTCCATGGGCACGGGATCGAAGAGGATCATTTTACGGATAAGGAAAAGCACCACAAGAGAAAGGAGGAAAAATCTCCGTTTAGAGATGAAGAAACTAGACCGACTCCTCCTCAGTTTATCGACATCCTTCCTGTGCATTTGGAGAACAAGTTGCATGTGAGTATTATCTATATTAATATACAATATTGTATTACATATATTATGTTCTTGTTTGAAAATAAATTTCAATTATTTCATTAACAAAATAGTTCATATAAAAATACAAATACATAAAAAAACGTTTAAAAAACAAAATATAAAATATCTAGTTAAAAATATATAGGATTGGGCAAAATAGGTAGAACACCTGATTTGTGGCTTAATTATGGGTTGTATTGAAAATACCCAGTAAATTTTTTTGTATATTTTATGCACTATTTAATGACGCTTGGTTATTTTCATCATCTGTCATGTTTATCAAAATAAAACTGAGTGATTAATATCGAGATGTCAATATGACATTATTTATAATATTGACAAGTGAATCCATGGCAGAACAATTCAAAATGGTACATTATGTTAGAACAGCTGTGTTTAAAACAAAACAGCAACGTTTACCTTTCTGTTTTAATATTTTCTTACGATAAGATATGTCAGAGACCACACGGACTCCATATTGATGGACTCAGAAAAAAAATATCTAAGAAAAAATATAAATACTCATTTAAAATTCCTTCCAATATATTGATAAATATGACAGATGACGAAAATACCCAAGCGTTATTAAATAGTGCATAAAATACACGAAAAAAATTATTCGAGTCAACTTTCAGTACAATTCATAATTGATCCACAACCCTGTATATAATTACAAATACATACAAAACACAATAAGATATTTTCTAATACGTCTATCTTGACTAGAAAGTTAATCTCAGGGAACATTTAATGCCTATGTTCATTGCAAATATTATCTAAAAATTCTGGAAAATCACTCGATCGTTTATTGGCAAAGTAAAGCATCTTATTACGACGATTCCAGAGGATTTTATTCGATGTCCTTGATAAGCAAATGGTTGTTTTTGTGCGGCTGGAGAATGTAGGCAGTAAAAGGGCTATAAAACGAAAAGAAATCGACATAATATATCCCAGACAGATTGTGGGTGATGGAGATCTAGCAAAATGGAGAGTTTCATATTCTTCGGCTTTTATGATCAAATCTTTTATATTAAAATGGGGTGTGTTCTATTCTTATTTTTTAAGATTTTCAATCTCGTTTGGAATAAGTCATAATCCTGTTTTCAATAGTTGTATGAAAATAATATAGAAGGTAAATTTTCTACAAAAGATGGTTAAATTTATAGTATATTTTAATAGATATTTCTTAAAACTCTATTTATAAATAGGAATGACTGAAAAGTGTTAAAAGTGAAAGATGATCAGTTTTATCAATATTAATTTCAATATCGATCCTTTAATAAAAACTAATTATGCTTACAGCCAATCATACTCAATCACTTCCTATCAGATTTTGTCAAACAATAAATTTAAACCATTCATAACATAAATAGCTCAGTAGTCGAGAAATATTTTTCCTCTTTCTCTTCCCCCAAATTCGCATAATTGCTCATCTGATATCTGCCATCTGTTATTGAGAAATTTTGCGAAACATTCAATTACTTGCATTTTCACTAATAATATACAGTATAGAAATGAAAGGAATATATTCGTTATTTCGTGAATCGGTAACGGTAGTGAAAATCTTGAACCCGGTCAATTTTTATATTAACTTATATACGTGAGGTCGTCTTTGTGAGTACGATAACGTCATCTATGATTTATTAAATAGAAATGTGGGTAGAACCCAAAGAGGTTAGAAAGGGTAGAGGTAACATAGGAAGTATTTGTCGCTGCGCGAATTTTGTCAAAACCGAAAAACTAGGTGGAAGGAGTAGGGAGATATTCTGGGTCGGACTTAAATATTTGTATTGTAGTACCTAATTTTGGTGGGTAACTAAAAGATGAAAAATTATGAGACGTTTTTTTGACTTTATTTGTTAGCACGATTTATTTATGATGAGGACAATAACACTTTATCAATATATACTTAGCTAGTAGCTAAGGGCCGATTCCACCGTTGTGTCAAACGAAGTTTAAATTATTTTACGAAGATTAAAATGACATTGTAAATGTAAAAATGTAATTTTAAACTCCATTTAGTAATTTAAACTTCGTTTTTGTTAATATAAAAATGTCATTTTAATCTTCGTTCAGTATTTTAAACTTCGTTTAACAAAACGGTGAAATCGACCCTAAGTAAAAGTTTATAAAATTATTGCAACAAAATAGCTGTTGAGACAAAAAGTTATCGAAACAGCCAAAGTACTTTCTGCTCGAATTACACACAAGATTTTTTCTACGATCACACCAAAATAAAATAAATAATTAAATTTTATTAGAAATGGGTTACCTTTTCGTTCGTTATAATATTTTAAGTTTATTTGATATAGGCCTACTCTTCGAAGAGAAAAAAATGTTTTGGTACTTATATGCCGGTAATTATTTATGATTTAATTATTTACGGAAAATACCGTTCAATGAATTAAACTATTAGGAAGTCAATTAATAGTTATTTATGTAACCAGTTACGAAATGCCTTATTTTGTGTAACGAGTAAATATTTGCGGAACGATCGGAGCGAGGTCCCGCAAAATAAACGAGTTGCACAAAATGGCATTTCGTAACGTGTTGACATACAAGATTTTTTTTAATTTTGACTTGATTATTTATAAAATTGTGTTGAAAACTGATTCACCATCATTCTTCTGTACCCAAGTAACAATTTGATATTTTATAAAAGCTGAAAAAATGTTTACAGAACCAAATTTATAAAATAGAATATTAGCTAAGAACATTTCCGGAACATTCTTTCAACAGTAATAAACACAAAATGGGCGCAGTATTACAGAACTATTTGGTTCTTTTGTAAATTCTATAAGATTTGTTGAATGCAGTTACCGAACAGTTACTACACATTTACACAGACTTTAAACAAATGTTTTTTTAAACTTTTATAACTGTTTTATAAATTTTCAATTTTGAGGTTAGGTTGCATATCAAAATCAGTAACATTTTAGTTTTTTAAATGTATCTGGTGAAAACAATATAATTCTATATTTGTCATGAAAGTAAATTCAAGGCGATATTAGTAAAATGGCAGTATCTACTTAAGAGATATGTATGACGCGGTTTAGACATAATGTATGACCTACAATAAAGCGTTTTTGGATACGCAGCAAGAATTACTGTTAATTATATAGCACATACAATACTAAATTTTTAAGCGCCTCGAGTTTGATTCATATTTCTAATACTTTTTCAGTGTGAAACAAAAATTAAATTAATGCAATTTGATTTTTTTTTTAGTAATAAGATTATGCTAATATTACTAATGATTAAAATCTTTAATTAACATTGGTTTTGTCCTAAATACTAGTAAAACCGACAGTAGATTTAGCTTTAAAACTGTCTTAGGTTTTTGTTAAATATGGCGGCTATTCAGAGGTATTAGAAAGTTATATTAAGACTGAATCATAATTATAAAATATTATTGTAGTAAAAACAGCTGTAATACAATAATTAAGTTGTATTACTCATTTCTACAAAACAAGTTCATCATGGTTTGTTGTATAATAGTTTCATATTGCTGCACTATATGACGAAATATAACATAACCTTACTAAATCATTTCCGATTTAAGTATTTGAGAATTGAAATGATTAGATTTGTTTCTACAGCTTTATAGAGCAAGCATAATTTTTAATATTACGAGAATAAGCAAGTTTAACATGGACATCGCCAAAAATATGGCTTTCTTTTAGTATTGGGGCATGATTATTCAGAACATACCTAATTATTATCTGGCTGAATGATAGTTTTTTTTTGAGTGTCTAGACAAACCAGCAAAATGTTTTACTAATATTTTTTACTGTTCTCTGAAAAGCAGGTACCACTTATTTTTTATATTTCTTTACTATTTAAATCTGACATTTTCAGACCATACACTCACTCACATACAATTGGTATGGGAAGTAGTTGAACGAACATAAAATACAAAATAATCTGGCGTAGGTACTACCAAAAGTAGTTGCTTTATTTTTTTTTTTATAAATATTTTTAAAGTGATAATACTATTCTTAACTAAAATAATTGCTATACAGTTTTCTGATTTGTAATAGTGTATTTCGACAATATATTACAGTTATTTTAGAGTTTTCATCAGAAGCAAATTGCTATTGATGCGGAATTATCTCACACTAATATTTATATAACTATTTTTTAAAGCGTTATTATGAGGTTAAGAAACAGTTATATTTGTATAACCAAAAAGTTCTAAAGGTAATCCAGAACAATAATATAGAATAACTATAAAGCAATTTTATTTTATAAGCTGAAATATTGTATAGAACAGTTGTATAAATGTTTACGTAACAATTTTATAGTTATCGTGAAAACTAATTTATAATTTTGCTGTAAGAATATTGTAAAAACTAATTTATATAACAATTTAGTTTCAGAGAACAAAATGGTGATTTCTGCAACTGTAATACAATAAATTAGCATTCCAGACACAGTAATATAATATCAATAAAATATAATAGTCTTATAAACTAAAAATTATAAAGCTACTTTGTTAGTTGGGTAGGTACTTCCAATCAAATATTTTTTAGAAAATTGTTGTATTTGATTGACCTACGACGTTTTTTTTTTTATTTCAATGGTAATAATAAAAATAAGGGACATGTGCAGTGTTGCCGATCTAATTTTTGACGTTACCCGCAAGAAATTTGAAAAAAAAATTTTACCCATTATCCTTAGAGGAGTATGTCAAAATTGTATCGGTGTTATTTTAAAAATAAAACGAAATTTACAGCTTTTCTTTTTTGTTGTTAAACGTAATGTCATATTTTCAAATGTGAAATGTCACTATTCATTGCCTTTTTTTCGATATTTGGTTTTTTCGATTTTTTGTTTTTTGGATTTTTGGATTTTTTATTTTTAGATTTTTAGATTTTTCGATTACTCGATTTTTCGATTTCTCGATTTTTCGATTTCTCGATTTCTCGATTTTTCGATTTTTTTTTATTTCTCGATTTCACGATTTTTCGATTTTTCAACTAAAAAACAAAAAAGAGGCAGTTTTATTTATTTTCATTTCGTAACTGGTGACATAATCAACTTTTCGTAATCAGTTGCAAAATGTT